AAAAAGTGTTTATTTAAAACCTCTATTAGTGACTATTCTATATTCAGGGCAATTTGTCTTGGTTTCAAAATATGAAACAGAATGTGCAGTATTTGTATATCTGTCTGACAAAATTAATTTAACTTAAGAAACAACACTAATTTTTAACATAGCATTGATTTAAGTGAGGTTATTTGTCTTCTTGCTCTAATTTCCTTGGTAGCCAATAGTTGACATCACTCTTAAGAAAGAATTCTCTATGGATATCTGAAGAAAATTATTTCCATGTTTCTTCTATTATGAGCATATAATAGGTCATTTCACCAAGGGACTACTTCCAGTGGTGAATATACGTCAGGCTGAGGAAAAGCACATCCACAGATACTGTCTCCACCCATCTTGGATAGTCATCTCAGAGAAGGTCAGAAGAGGACACTAAAAGAGAATGTGATCTAAGATAAAATATTGTGTTCTGTAAGTCATATCTCTCTGATCTTCTTTTTAAAGGTAATTCTCAAAATACATTTTTGTATCTGTTTTAAAAATGTCCTCTATGCTTGAATTGAGACAAGCTTTTTTGGCTTCTGACATTTCTAGATGACAATTCACGGTTTATCCTCTTGTCTACTTACTGTTGGAATTTCTGTGGTCTTATTAACAGCAGTGCACCCAACATCATGTTGCTCTGCCTCAGAGAAGTTGTCACGTCTGCATAGCTTTTTGACAGCTACTCAATACGACCATCTCCAGCTATTCTTGTTCAAGTAGTCTTTCCACTTGAAACAATATTGTTTTCATATTAGAGAGATGGTATTATATGTAAGACATTTTATCATAGAGACTGGAGTTTAAAGTTTATATATTGAGTGAGAAATGACATTACCACAGAAATAGAATCAAAACTCATAACCCCTCAAAACAAGAAGTTAGCATGAGCCTGTGGAAGTCACTTGGTCTTTCTCCCTGTGTACTACACACAGAGTATATTAGGTAATCTATTAAATTGTCCAGATTCATATTTCTCTTTGTAAAAATACAAATACTGAAACTTTCACTATGTTATGATTATTATAGGAAAAAAGTCTTTTTTTGTTGTAATAAGGATTGAGACCAGAGTCATATAACCACACTTTCAGTCCCTTTTTTTTTTTTTATTTTGATATAAGTCTCAACAAGTTATTGAGGCTGGCCTCAAACATGTGATCCTCCTGCCTGGAACTTTCTGAGTCATTAGGATTACAAGCATGCAACACTGCTTTACTTAGAAAAAAAATCTTTATTGAATTATATTGCACATGAAAAAGGTTGAAAATATGTTGCTTATTTTGATTCTCCTGAAAGAGAAAAAATATTTGTCTCCTTTTCTTAATTTTTCAATTTTACTAATCCAATAATTGGCATTATACATTCTAGGAGAATATTCCCATTGTTACAAGTAAGAATTCAAAAGTGCTATAATAGAATACCCTTTTGACACTTATAGGTCCTATTATAATATTATTAACCCCTCTAGGCAAGGGCAGAGGTAAGGATGAAAACATTAAATTCCTGAAAAGAAAGAAACATGTCTGATATGTTTCTTCAATCTAAATCTCATTAAGAT